TTCAAACTTTTCCAGAGCATAGGAAAGAAGGTGGAAATCTCAATTCATCTTACAAAGCTATACTAATCCTAATATCAAAACTGAATAGAGATGGCACAAAGAAATACTATGGGTCAATCTCACTTATACATATTGATTCTGAAATCGCATAAAGAAAATAAACTAATCCAATCTATCAAGTAATTAAAATAGTAACCACAATCTATTCTAGAAATGTGGGAATGGTTCAGTGCAAAAATATATATATAAATAGGGGCGCCTGCGTGGACCAGTCAGTTAAGCGTCTGCCTTCCAGCTCAGGTCATGATCCCAGGGTTCTGGGATCAAGCCCCTCATGGAGCCCCGCATCAGGCTCCCTGCAGGGATCCAACTTCTCTCTCTCCCTCTGCCCCTCCCAACCACCCCCCCATGCTTGCTCTCTCTCAAATAAATAAATAAAATCTTTAAAATATATATATATAATTCATTATATTTGTAAATTAAAAGATGAAAAATAATATGGTTTTTGTTACTAGGTCCCTCAAAAAAAAGCATTTGATAATTTCAGCAGTCATTCCTAAATATCCTAAAACAATAGGAAATATAAACCGGTAAAATACCAACATCATTTCCATTAAAATAGAAACAAAAAAGAGATGCCTAATATCACCCAGTTTTTCAACATTGCTTTTGATAGTCCAACTAATGCAATGAGACAAAAAAAATAAATGAAAGTGATATAAATATTAGAAAAGAAAATGTAAGTTATCCTTATCTCAAATATTGTGATTATATACTATGACAAGAAATGCAACCTTAAAAAAACTGTTAGCATTAATTAATAAGAGAGCCCAGCAATGGGAAAGAATACAGAATAAATAAATTCTTAAATCCATAGCTTCTCTTTATATTATCATAAGCAGGTAAAAAAAATAAATAAAAGAGTACCATTCAAAACAATGTTTAACAAACAAGGTTTATTGTTTCATTTAGCACTAAATGTTTTCCCTGAGACAAGAGTACAGATTAAAAATTTTTAATCTTAGAAGCACTAACATATAAATAAATACAGGTCCCATTGTAAAATAGTTCACCCTAACTACCCTACCTTAGTGTGTAATCATAAAGTTATATAAAGCTAAAATAAATCACAAAGCAAAAACTGAAAGTTTGGAAGGCTGGTGGTTCAACACAGAACCAGTTCATTTGGATATTATGTACAAGCATGAGACCATACTATAGTCTAGGTAACATGGTAAAAAATCACTTTCTATTGTAGTAATTATATTGCTAGAGAACGGTGGTATTACATCACCATTACCAGAACTGAACCTTACTTATTTATTTTATATTTATAACACATGTCTGATATATTTGATTAACACTGGCCTCGTTTCCATTTTATTGCTGTGGGATTCAATGTCTTCGTTTGTTAAGTATTTAGTGGCAAAGCTGGGTAAAAGAAGCATATGGTAGGTGGAGTACTCAGCTTAAAATATCTGAAAGACCTATTATAAAATAGTTTTATCAAAATACTTTCTAATTAAAAAGATCCTTCACTCTTTGCATTATCACAGATAATAAAAAGGAGCTGCATACTATCACATAGCATTAACCTTGAGAAAATTCAGATTTAGTCTTACTTTAGTATTCAACCAAACCAGGTTATCTGCACAGTAAAGAAGATGTCTTAAAACCTTATGGATCCATTATTCCAGGGATAAACACTCATTTGGAAAATTAAATAGAATAATATTACCTAAAATGAATTAAGTACTATGATTAACATAAAAATTTGTAATTTGCAAAAAAGTGGAATAATGTGTATTATCTAATTAAAACATAATTAAGGACAGGTTTACACACACACACACACACATTTCCCTAAAGCTTTATAGATTTAACTGTTAGCTGATTGGGGTGGGGAGGAAATTAATGTGTCCATTAAGAAATACTTATTTAGAAATTTCTAAATATGATTGCAAAATTGTCAGATTATTAATTCATTGGATAGAAATGTTTTGCATACTTACTGTATACTAGGTACTTATCGTTGTGAGACAATAAAAAATACCGCATTGGAAAAGGACCTTTTTGACATTACTACATCTCAAATGTATTATGCATTATGCAACTGAGAATTAATTATATTTAACACATTCAACATATAGAACAAAATTCTGAGTAATCAAATCAATTATACCCTTGAGCAACTCGATTTTTTAAATTCCTCTTATTATTCCCTTAAGTTGATTTCTACCCCCAGGATTCTTTCCCAGTTCTAAAATAAGAGAATAGAGACATTTCCTAAATAAGACCTAATACAAAAGAAGAGAAATGTAAGAGAAGGGATACATTAGTCTTAAATCCTTGTTTCTGTTTGTTCTCAATAGCACTTCTAATGTTCAATTTTCTCTTCAAAGAAAATCTTGATTTAGAAGAACAAAAGAGTACAATCATCTTTAACATCAAAAAAAATGTTTAGCTCTTACCAAAGTTAGCAAAAGATTGAAACTGAGGAAGAAATATTAAAATAAATTTTTATTGTACCTTATATAATCCCACTCACCATGGTAATGGTCTGATACTTTGGTATAATGACTTTTTAAAATATTACCAACAGGTAGAAAATTTTCCTTTGCTCTACAAAAACAAAACGTGGGGGAGTTTTTATCATGTTTCTGCTCATAACTTGAATCTTAATTTAAAGAAATGTCACTTCCACCACCTAAATGATATATTTTCTAGAAGGGTGATTTAATTGAGAAGAGAAAAATGCCATATTGCTTCTTCCTTCCAAGAAGAAAGGATGTATTCCATTCCTGTGAACTTTCTGTCTCTCCATATATATATATGTATACATATGTATACATGTCAATGTAGATATAAATATACATATATACATATGTATGCATATCTGTCCAACAAATGTTTGATTTTGAGATCTCTCTTCCTATTCTTACTGATTCATTATGCTCACTGTGACTTTCAAACTGTCTGCCTTTCACATTTTATTCATTCATCAGTGAATAATTGAGTACCTGAATGTACTGAGTACTGCCTGCATGCTTAGCATTATATCAGATGTAAAGGAACATACAAAATAAATATAAGATGAGTCTTTGCCCTCCAGAATCTTCTGATCCCTTCCAGGAGCAAGACAAAACCATTAAGTAATTCATAAGACTAGTGCCAAAATCAATGGTACAGGTAACATGCATTTTACATTTATGTAGAATTTTAGAGCTTCAGAACACTTTCCTGTACTTAATCCTCAGAACAATCTTGTGAAGTACACATTATTAGCTCCACTTTAGCAATGAGGAACCTGAAATTCAGAATTTTAAGTGGCATGCCTCAGTCAAATGATTTACAAGTGGAAGTCAAGACTTGAGCCAGGGTTTTCTGACTCTTAAGTCCAGTGCTCTTTTCAATACAGCACAGGAAACCAAGGATGGGGTATTAACAGGGCAACAACCGGCTTTCTGCTAGAGGTGGAATCGAAGTAGACCTGATAGGATGTCAGGAAAACATAAAGCTATCTGAGCAGCGTCCAGCTGAATGTCCAAAATAATTTTATTCTGCAAATATTTGTACTTCAGGGTTATACACACAGCACAACTACCATTTCTTCAGTGTTAGTGCCTTTACCTCCTCAGTAAGAGCTTTGCTCTCAGAAATGAGGATGTCAAATGTAACGAAAAGCTGGCCTAGCAGGATCATAAAAATCTTAAGTCACAAATATAAATCTTAAAGATCTGGTTTCTACTAATCCTCACACGTTTTGTTTCCCCACAGCACCAGAGAGCGTAACTCGCCCCTATCCTTTTCTAGCATTCTGGCTCCAAACAGCCACTTATTTTAAGATGTCAGTGACTGACCCTACCCCAAATTCCACAGGTTCGCCCCAGTTTTGTCACCCCAGCCCCTGCCCAGAACCTCCCCCTCCCTCCCAGTGGATATGATACCTAGTTCAGGCTCTGCAGGTGCCGTCGGGATGCTGTCACACAGCACTGACAGGTAAGATATGACCTTTCGACTCCGTCCTTGGGGACCTCCCGCTAGCCGCGCAGCGCAGTTCCAACCCCGGAAAGGGGGCTCCCGGCTCAGGAACGCAGCCACCGGCAGCGCACGGTCCGAAGTGATGTCTCTGACAACTAGAACGACACTGGGCGCCCGGGCGCGCATCACTCCGCCCCATACTCCTGCCAACTGCAGGGGACTTGGTCCGGCAGCCGGTCCATCCCACCTCAGAGGCAAGTCCGGGCCAGCCGGACCTCACGCAGGACCCCGAGGACAGGTCGCTGGCAGCAGCGGCGGCAGCAAAAGCCACCCGCCTCCAGTGCCCATAGCCGCCAACCTAAGACCCCCCTTGGCTGGACCGCAGAGAAGCGTTGCTATGGAAACCCCCTGGGGATCACGTGACACCCTCGGACGACCAATTGCCTCTCACCTCTGCCCGCGGCACCGCTTTCGGCCCTCCCTCCGGCCCCGCCCCCTCCCGCCCCCGCCTCCTTCGCCCAGCCCCGCCCCTTTCCTGCGGAGAGCCCGCGCCTGCGCATTGCGTCCAGCGCGCTCCCTCCCTGGCGCGCGCTCCCCGGGGGCGGTGTAGGCTAGAGAAGAGCATGAAGCTGAGGAGGAAGGAGCGCCGCCTGCGCGCAGGCCCAGAAGCGCCCGAGCCCCGGCTGCCGGCGACGCCCCAGAGCGGAAGAGGGAAGTGAAGGCGCCAGGCTGCGGGTTCCTGGTGGGCTACGCTTACCGAGGTAGAAGCAGCAACCGAGAGGAGGCTTTTGCCACCGGTCCGGATCGGGGATGTCGAAGAACACCGTGTCGTCGGCCCGGTTCCGGAAGGTGGACGTGGATGAGTACGACGAGAACAAGTTCGTAGACGAGGAAGACGGGGGCGATGGGCAGGCCGGGCCTGACGAAGGCGAGGTGGACTCCTGCCTGCGGCAATATCCTTGCGTCTGCCGGCCTCCCTTCCCCACCCGCTCTCCTCCCGGGACCCCCTGCCGACCCCGGGGCGGGGGCGCGGAGCTGCCCCCAGCGGCCCATGACTTAAATCTGTCTCTCTGGGGTCCCCCACTCTTGAGAGGGCAAGGGACACTCCCATTTCTAACCGAGTCGCCCCGAGAACCCAGGGTCCCGCCTCGGAAACTTGCCCTTCCCGGCGCGCCTCTCCCGCCCCGATTCCTCAGGTTGCGGCCGGAGTTGCTGCCTCCGGGAACTGGCGGGGCGGACCGCGCCCTCGCGGCGCGGGGGGAGGCATCTGGTGCTGCGCTCTGGCTCTCGGGGGGCGCTTAAGTTGTCCTCCCCAGGACGGCGATTGCCGGAGTCACCTCGGCTCCAGAAATTTGTGATTGGGAGGAGCAGCTGCTTCTGTTTTAGCGGTTGGGTTTTGGCAGGGTTAGGAGAGTTTATTCCTTGCTGGGAGGGATGGGGCGGTTTGCAGAATTGAGGCCCTCTGCCCTTTTAGCCCCTGGGCCTTTTAAAAAAAAAAAATCACTATTTAAAGAGAAGGGAATTTGGCAAGATAAAGGTTGCAAGATAGAGAATTTGTTAACCGGGGGAAAGGGAGTGTGTACAAAAAACTAACTCCCAAGAAGGAAGCTTGTAGGCTTTTACCTGCTAAGCGGGGGACAATGGAAAGAAGACAGGGATTGCATATGGAGAATCCCTGGAAATATTTAAAGTAAACCCCAGTGAATAAAATAGACGATGAGTCATTTGTACAAAGCAGAATCATTTTTGTAATTCTGAAATCGTTTCCATTTCAGTTAAAATGTGGCTGTCAGTTCCTGGGTTTTGTTTTTGCATATTTGAATATTCATAAATTCGAGTGAGCATTTGCATCACATCTTTTTTAGAAAAATGTAAATGTTGGAACGACTAATGCTGTAGTTTTAGAGATTCTCAGTTACTGAATTCACTCAGTTCTAATTATTCTTGAATGTATTCATAAGGTAAGGAAGACTAAACCCTTTCCTCATCAATGTCCTATTAAAGTATAATGGGGAAATATAAGTGAAAGTATTGGTTGTCACTACATCTAGTCTTAAAGGCACCTAAAATACAGCACTAAACATTTATCAGCATACAGATGTTTCTTTGATTGCCACAACTTTCACAGTCAGCTGTTGCTGTTTTGCATTATTTAAATACTTAAACGCTTTAGGTCTTAAAAATGAGCCAGTCTGCAAAAGGCATGCTTTCCTAGAAGTTCGTTAACCCTTGAAAATAACAGCTTACCACCAACCATAGGGGTTTTTTGTTTTGGGGTTTTTTTTTTGGTCAGACCTTTTTTTTCTTTTTCTTTTTCAAACATAAGCAATGAATATTATTCTGTCTGAAAACATTCTTTGTGATGGATAAATGATGTTTTGTGAACTAACTTTAGGTTGGTGGGTGATGACTCTTAACTGGTACTGCTGTATCCATATAATGGATCTGCTTTTTAATCACTTTATCTTAAAGTAAAAAGATAATTGTCTCTTCTTCTCTTGTTGCAACCAGAAGAGACAAGCTCTGGGTCAGGCACTACAGATGGAGGAACAAGTGAACTCTGTGGTTTTCCTTTTAGGGGAATGACTGTATATTCTGACAGTCTGATTGGCCTTCCGTGTCTCGTACTTGCTAACGCACTGGTGCTTTCAAAGACTAAATTTAATAGGTATGACCTAAAACAGTTTTAATAACCTTTATGAAATATAAGAGAAAATGTGCAAAACAGAAAAATTAAGCTTCTACCTGAATGTCATTATTACATCTTTTGTAATGCCTCTTTTCATTAATATTGAGAGATTGCTGATGTGTATCATTTAGAGTGCTAGAATAGTCACCAGCGTTTTCTGCCATCGTTCAATTCATACACAGTATAATTCTAGCAAAAGTTTGGTCTTTGTTTTTCCAGTTAGAATCACATAAAAACACATTTTGGTTGAGGATATGCTGTTTCATTTTGGGACCTAATAATTCTGAGGTACATAAATTTTTTTTTAAACATTACTGGATAATGTTTGCACATGTGTCTTACTGGAAAATAAAAGGCTGTCAAAGTATTCATGTAGTAATTAGAGCCAGACAAGAACTGATCTTTGCCTTAATATGTTCCCCTGTGTTTTCAGGATTTTACATTTGATTGACATCATTGAAACCAACATACTGAGTTTTCCAATATTGAGCATAGTGACTATGGTAATTTTTCTCTCTGTGTATAAAATCAAGTCTTAAGAACCAGTGATGCCTGGTAAACAGTGCTTTCCTGAGAGCTGCCCTGTGCCGCTATCCCCTTAACCTCCATCACAGGAAACATGACAGCTGCCCTCCAGGCAGCTCTGAAAAATCCCCCTATCAACACCAAGAGTCAGGCGGTGAAGGTAAGTCAGACACACAGTGATCTCTGCCGGTGTCTTAGCTTTCTTACCAACATCCTCTGAAGTATGAAAGCAACAAATATTTTAACCATTTCTTGTCTTTGACGTGGACGAGCTTACCATGTAGTTTGATAGGTAAAAATTTACATGTTAAAAATAGCACTCTAATACTGAGTTATGAATATAAGAGAGATCATTTTGGTGTGTTTAATGGAGGCAGGCGGGTTGAATTTAAACAAAGGCCTGAAGAATAAACAAAACTTGTACAAAATAAACAAAATTCTATTTGGTTGCTCTTTAGAAATCTTTCTAAATTATGCAAGTATTAAATGTTTATAGAAAACTCGAAGAAGTGAGGGGACAAAAAGTGTAGTCAGTCATCATCCCACTGCCCGGAGGCAACCGGTTATTACTTTCGGGTGTTGCTGTATGCTTATAGAGCTTTTGTATTAGTTTTGTTGTGTTTTTGGGGGGGTGGTTTGGTTTTTTTTTTTTAAAAAAAAAGGAGTTTTATAACTGGCTTTTTTTTTTTTACAACGTACATGAACATCTTTCCTTAAGTTTAATTCTATAAGCATCTATTTTTAATGGCTGCATATACATATGCTGCAGTTTACATATAACTAGTCTCCTTTTGTCATATATTTAGATGATTGACCTTTTGTTGTTGCAAACGGTACCGAAATGAACAATTTTGGGTAAATTGTTCATTTTTTCCTTTGAATGAATTCCCAGAAGTGAATAGATGGGTTTTCGAATGCATATTTTTTAAGGCTTTTGGTACAAGCGGTATTGCCAGATTGCCCTTCAGAAAAACATGACCAACATTCCCTGCAGCAGTCTTTCCAGAAATTCTGGAGAACATATTTACTAATTATTTAAAATGAAGCCTAGAGCTCTGGACCCATTGTCTGTAGCAGCCCTAAGGATCTCTTTAATTGAATACTAGTAATAATTTAGGTAAATGCATAATAATTATCTAGGCAACAATGAGAGGAAACATTTTCTTTGGTTTTTGAAAGTGGCGAGGGACGTCATTGAAATTTCAATTTTACCACCTTCTGCTTTTATATGGGTGAGTTTTTATCACAGTTTGTGGGTGGGAAGTTATAGCTGTGTTTGTTAAGAATATTTTTCTAAATTGGGTCTTAAATCCATGGCCTTTAAACTGAAGACAACAATAGGTGGTAGAAACATTCTGTAAACTCCAGATCGGTAGGAATGCCAAAGATACCACTCTTTTCTTGAAAAGGCGAAGTGGAATTGTTGAAGGGGTAAACTAAGTGTTCTCTTTGCTTGGCTTCATGGGTGAAAAAATAACTTTGCTCTTGGAACAGCCTTTTATCAAAGGAAAAAACTCGAAAGTGAAGATCACTATATCTTATATCTTGATGGTAGATATAAAACTTAAAATAAGTCTTCTTAAAAGCTTATAATTTTTGAAGGATGGTTCAGGGTAGAACTGCACTTCATTTTTTCTTTGTCTTCAGGGTTTTTTTGAGGTCAAGAAGTAAAATTTAAATACTGATTTAAGAAAATTGTCAAGTTATCACATCTGTTTGTAAGCAGATCCCTTCAGCTCTCCTTCAAACATGTCAAGAATCTGTCCCCCCGCACTGCTCGCGTGCTAGGCAGAGCCAGCCTGTGTTATTGCAAGTCCCTTCCAGACTGGTCTCCCGTCTTCTGCCTCGTTCCCTGCCCCCGCACCAGCCCCACTTCAGCTTATTCTCAACATGGCAGCCAAAGGGATCCCATTAAAATACAAGCCAGATTATATCACTGTTCTCAAAACCTTCCAACACCTTCTCATTTTTCTTAATGAGAGCCAGAGTCGTCACAGCGGCCTGTGGGGCTTGCGCCGTCTTTCCTCCCACGGCCTTTCTGGCCCGTCCTCGTCCGCCATACCGCCCTGGCGCCCCGGGGGGCTTCGTATCCTTCAGGTCCTAAATGTCACCTCCTCAGGGTGGCCTTTCTAGAACAACCACTCCACACCCATACATCTAAATGTTCTGTTCTTCCTTTATCCCCAGGATCGAGCCGGCAGCATTGTCTTGAAGGTGCTCATCTCTTTTAAAGCGAATGATATTGAAAAGGCAGTTCAGTCCCTGGACAAGAATGGTGTGGATCTTCTCATGAAGTATATTTATAAAGGCTTCGAGAGCCCCTCCGACAATAGCAGTGCTGTGTTACTGCAATGGCATGAAAAGGTAAGTTATGTTCTCTCACCTAAACAATTATTTCGATTTCTTGGCTGTACATCTTTAACGCATGAAAATGAACGTTTAGATTTATCCTCACTAACCTTGATCTTAAGAGATTCTGATTTGCAGCACACATTCAGTGATGAAAACACACACCAAAGGGAGTAAAACTCGTCTCGGTCAAGTCACTTGATGGCTCATACACTGTCAAATAGAGAGAGCTAAATTTTATGGACAGGATAACCAGACCTCACTGTTTTCCCAAGATGGCCCCAGTTTATGCCTGTTGTCCCAACGTAATTATGACTAGTTCCCTTTCACTCTCCAGTACCAGTTGGAGAATAATGTATATGGTCATCCTATTCAGGAACACTTTCCACTTGTCAGTCACTGTACCATTAGTTGATGTTTCATTAGGCCTCATAATGACCCTACAAGGTATATAAACATCTTTATCATCCTCAATGTGGAGATGAAGAGCCTACTTAAAAACCTAAGCAATCTGGTTCCTGTCCAGTCTCAGGATCATAGCAGACATTGGTGGAGCACTTACTGTATTCCAAGCACTCTCGCAAGCACTTTATAAATATTAACTCCTTTAATCCTCATAAAAATACCAGGAGGAGAAGCTTGCTATCATTCCTCTTTTGGTGGATGGGGAAACTGAGGCCCACGTTAAGTCTTCATTGCTTCCTAACATCAGTCACCAGTTTTTGCCAGTCTGTCTGCTAAACAATTCTCAGCCATGCACACAGATACCCTTCTGATGCAGCTCTTTGCAGCCTCTCTCCCAGTCTGTTGCTGTAACTTGCTACACGGGCCTCCAGCTACCAGTTCCGTCCCCTTCGAATCTGTTCTCCACCCAATCGCCAGAACGCTCTCTTAAATCCAGATCTACCCTGTCAGTCACCTGCAAAATGAAGCCCAAGTTCCCAAGTCTAGCCACTCCTCTCCTACGTTGTTCTTCCCCCCCGTGCTCCAGCAGTGAGCAGCATAATAGTATGCTCTCCCAGAACACACCGTACAGTTCCACACCTCTCGACCTTTGCACAGGATTTTCTGTCTGCCTGAGTGCCTCCTCACCCCAGTGCACACCTCTGTCATTGCATACATTATATTAACAGGCTCTCCTTATATATCTGCCCCTTCCCGGTAGAACAGAAGGTGTATATCCCTGGCATCTAGCACGGTACCCAATACACAAAAGTATTCAGTAAGTAAGCCAGAGCTTTCAGTTCCTGATTTGAATTGTACTCAGGACTCGCAGTTTTTGAAGGTAAAGTCAAAATTAAAGTTTCTAGTTCTTAGCTATGAAATAATACATTCTTAGCTTGGGGTGGGGGGGAATAAAAAGAATCTGACAAACTGGCTAATCTAAATGGAACTTAGTTGGGTAGTTGATCCCAGTTTGAATTTCTTCCTGACAGTGCTAAGAAGAGAGCAAAATCAAAGTCCTAAATTGACATGTGAGCACCCGTTTTAGGCAAGCACATGCTGTAAATCCTTAAGAACATCCCATAATGTGAAAACAACATACTAGAACGTCAGCTAGTATCTCACTGGCATGTGGGTGCACGAGGCAGGGACTCCAAAGGTGGTGTGGGTCGCTGTGTCCCCAGTACCAAGAACAGTGCCTGGCGCGTGATCGGTGTTCAAGAGATGTTTATGAAAATTAATGAATCCAAAGCCGATAGCTGCACACATTCCTCCTTTAAGAAGAATGTTTTACTTGGTATAAGAAATGATTCTTGGGTGCCTGGGTGGCTCAGTCGGTTAAGCGACTGCCTTCGGCTCAGGTCATGATCCTGGAGTCCCGGGATCGAGCCCCGCATCGGGCTCCCTGCTCAGCGGGGAGTCTGCTTCTCCCTCTGACCCTCTTCTCGTGCTCTCTATCTCTCATTCTCTCTCTCTCAAATAAATAAAATCTTTAAAAAAAAAAAAAAAAGAAATGACTCTTTATGATTCCATCAGCATTTACATTTTTGTTCGTTTTTAGGCACTTGCTGCTGGAGGAGTCGGGTCCATTGTTCGGGTCCTGACCGCAAGGAAAACCGTGTAGTCGGCGGGAACTGGACAGCCCATGGGTGTGGGAGTTGCTGGTACAAAGACCAAAACAACCAAATGCCACTGCTGCCCTTTGGGTAGCATCTGTTTCTCTCAGCTTTGCCTTCTTGCTTCCTTTTTCATATCTGTAAAGAGCAAAATCACATATCAGTTTTCCTTTCATGAAAATTGGGATAATAGAGAGGAAATGTTTATGAACGGGAGGGTTTCATGCTCTCAAAAATGATTTTGGTGTATACCTGTCTGTATATAGTATAATTTGCCTTCAAGTTTAAATGTGCAATTTTAACCCCTATCGGCTGGTTGGGGTTTTGTTTCGTTTTGCTTTTTTTTTTTTGGAAGTGTTTTGTTTTGTTTTGTTTTTGACTAATAGAAATTTGATCAGAACTTGAGGCCAGTTTCCTAACTCATTCCTAGCCAGGAAATGATCTTTATAAAAAATATATTTGAGAAACTGGCAGCTATTAACATTGCAAAACTGGACCATAATTCCCTTATTTAAGCAAAATGTGTTTCTGGAACAAGTGGTGGGTGAACAGCGCTCCCAAGTTCCAGCTCTGTTTCTGCTTACCTCCAGATCATGTGAGCTTAAGTACGCTTTTTCCTCTCTGCATCCAATAATCATGGCCTCTTGATTTCTTTGTGGTCTCCAGGGTCCAGAGCAAGGAGTCTTGCTCTACAAAAATGTATCTATGAAATTCCAGAGCCTGTTTGGCACGAGCATAAAACTTTGTTCTAATAATATGACCCAATTTGGGGAAACTACTCCAAATGAGAGAAGACGGGGAAACAATGATGAAGTTCAAACTCTGGGCAGCCTCTGAATGAAACGCTATTTTCTTTAGAAATACAATAGCTGCCTTAGACATTATGAGGTATATAACTAGTGTTTAATATGCCCTATAAATGTCTTCAGCGTTCTTCAGGGTAATTAGGATCTTAAAAGATTTGGTTCAGATCCAGACACATACACATTCTGTATTTTAGCTCAGTGGTTTTCAAAAAAGGAAAATGCCACACAGCAAAAAGTGTTTACTTTGGTGGACAGACCAGATCGGTTGTCAAAAAATGACCGGTGCTTATAAAAAGTTATCATTCAATAACTCCAAAACAAACCACCTGAATGCATATGACCAAGAGGGAAATCAGCCTGTGTTTAGTATTTACATTGGACACCAGTTTCGTAATCACTGTCTTACGTAAAAACTGGTGGAGAAATTCTATAACCTCTTTGCTGTTTTTGATACCTGCGTTTTGTTTTGTTTTGTAAAAATGATAAAAGTTCGGAAAATAAAATGTCAGTGTTGAATAATTTATTTTTCTAACTCTTATTTTAATACTTACGAACGTGTGGTTAATTAAGAGAGAAGATTCCCTGTTTTCCCGGCAGGTTATGGTACTCTTGACAAGAAGTAATTTGGTACAGAAGGTTTCTAAAACTCCTTTATTCACATATAAAGGAGGGGAGTAAAGGAGAGTCATGGATGAAGGCAGGGCACCGCCGGAGCCTTTGGAATGAATGATTCCATAGCCCTCCAGACGCCAGCTGAGCACCCGAGTATCACTGCCCAAAGACCGAAACTAGAATGTGCCGAGTAGCGTAGCAGCTGTGGTCCATTACCCCCAGCCCGTACACCCTTTCTCACAGCGCAGCCTTTCTTGTCTCCACACCGGCCCCAATTAGATTCCTGCTTTAAAGCCTTAGAAACCGAATGGGCAATTCAGAGGGCGGTGAGTTAAGAGAAGAAACGAAACAATAGGTAGTCGAGTAGGTACAGCATAACCCCTTACAAACTTGAAAACAAAAGTGATATTGCAGTACTTCTTAAGGTCATTTTCATGACTATCATGTTGTTGGAGAAAGTTCTGGAGTTCCATATTGTATAGTCCCCAAAACGGGTGTGTGCGCGATCTGCCAGCCTATCAGCTTCACTTGGAGAGAGTAAAAATATGTAACCCTTAGGGCAGCATAGGGACTGACTCAGAGCGGATGCCGGCTGGAAACCCCTGGCTTCCCTGATTCCTCTGGGCTGTGAGCCCCGGTGGTGCCGACCATGCGTGGACTGGCCGGGGGTGGGGGGTGGGCTGTCAGGATGATCGCAGAAAACAGATACAGGTGCTAAGGGGCACTTTGGCACAAAAGCAGTTCCTTCCCTTCCATTCCCTTCTACTTGAGTCTCTGGGGTTTTTTGTTTCATTGTTTGTTTTGCTCTTACCATTTTTAAAGGGAGGGAAATGGCACACATCCCCTTTCTTGGTCATTAGGTGACTGCACCATGTAGGCGGCAGTCACACTCGATAGTAAGTGTGCTGATGTCTTAAGGAAACTCAGCGACATACATGTGCAATCAATCTGTAGACGGTGCAAATTAACCGGGATTTATTTTTTAAGCGTTTACTGTGTGCCCAAGGATCATGAAAGACATAATAGAAGAGTAATAGTAATAACTTCACTCATAAGAAATAATTTTATCCTCTAAATATTTTTGAATAATTTTATCCTCTAAATATTTTTGAGCCTTTCTTAAAATGCCAGTTGTGTTTAGAGAGTTCATTTCGAAGGAGTCTATTAACACTGAAACATCAGTAATCCTGCCTGGGTCCATGTGGTGCAGGGTTACATGAGCTTTATAAAAGAAATGAAACCTAACGCAGATAGTTAGAACACAAATAGCCGGAAACCGAAGGCATAGTACCCCCAGCATACCATGGCTTTTAATTTCCAAAGCAAGATTCTGAGTGAGAGTAAGTGAATTAAGACAAAAAAGCCACCGTCTGTTGAGTACTTAGGATGTGTCCGACCCCTCGTATATTTTATCTTAAGAACTGAAGCTTAGAGAATATATATAAGATCCCATGGTTTGTAGGGGCCAGAATGAGAATTCCAACCCCTGTCTGCCTGACTCCAAGGTGATACCACACTTTTCGCTCAAGTCTGGTGCTTGGGGACTACAGATATTTCCAGGACAGATGAGGACTGGGGCTTTCTCTAGAAATCTCAGCCCTGGATGCATGGGTGCTATTGTTGAGAGGAAAAACCCACTCGGGAGCCCTTCAGAGAGGTGAGAGTTGACAGGTGCTGAGGTCAGAAGAAGATCGGAAGAGGTATACCCAGCAGCAAACAGAGCATAGCTCTTTCTTCACTGTGACTTTTACTTGCCTTTTGATGATTTTTAAAGTTGTGAGGTTAGAGTTCAACCTTCATAACATGCCTAACTCCACTAGAAAAGAGAAAAGTGGCTGAGGGCTTCTCAAAGCATGTAATTTCTCTATGTCTTGCTCTTTAGGCAGTTTTTTGGTTTTGGGGGGGTTTTGGGGGGGTTTTTTTGGGGGGGGGTGGGCAGAGGGAGAGGGAGTGAGAGGATCTTAAGCAGGTTGCATGCTCAGCTCAGCGCAGAGCCCGAGGAAGGGCGGGGCTCAATCTCACGACCCTGAGATCATGACCTGAGCCGAAATCGAGTCGGACACTTAACAAACTGAGCCACCCACGCACCCCACTCTTCATGCAGTATTTTCAATATGTTCTCTGTTTTCCATGTTTTCACAGATGATGTATTTTAACTAATAAACTTCTATTTTAATTGGTTTTGTCCTAATTCCACTTAACAAGAACCAGAGCCTCAATCCCTCATTACATTAGCCAAGCTCAATACATTGTTGGTCATAACTAAAAATTATTTTCCTAATTGAATTCCTCAGAGTCACTTTGGTCACCTCCACTGTAATTGGCCGGTGCCCCATTTTGGAGGTACCCCAAATTGGCAGCTTATTTCTGAGGAGGATCCCAGAGTTGCCCTCATTCTGATTTCAAAGTCAGTTGAGGATTAGAGTTTTTGCAGGAGAAATCCTGGGGGATGGGACTTCTCCAAGGTAACTCTGGGCTTGAGGAAATCCGAATCAAAATCATAAACCTGTGTGGATAAGGAACCAAGGCACCGCTCACCAGGCTCGATGCCAACAACCGACTCCACCACGTTCTTCGCACGTGGCCCCACCACGCGGGGGTGGGTTGGTATGGGTCTGGAGAAACTCTAACTGCTGTTGTCTACCTGTCCCCTTCCCACTCCTTGTTGGCATTTTCCTGCTCTGCTTTCCTTCCCTGAATCATTTTCTCTCTTCATTCCTGCAGCTGCGGCCTTCCCGCCCTCTACTCCTCGGGCCTCCTTCCCTCCGGCCCCAGCGCTCAGACTCATTGCTGCTGATTAAATATGTGGCGCTGCAGATTGGTTCAAGTAAGGCCCTCCCACGATTCTCCACCTGACTCAAAATGTTTAAACGGCTTCTTTCTAAACCACGAAAATGCTGGGTTTTATTTCCATAGGTTGCTTTGGACAGCAATTGGGCAAATAACCCAAAATCTCAGACTTGACTTTTAAAAACACTTTTCCCCCTTTAGATTTACAAGTAATTTCACCTTAGAGACAAAAAAAAAAAAAGTACAAAAGAGCACCAAGGTGACGGGATGGGAAGACGAGCCCAATAAAGAAATCAAATTGGCTCAGAGAGGGGTGCCCAACAACAAGGCTGCTTCTGTCCATAGTCCTGCCATGGGCCTTCCCCCCACCCCATCTCCACCTCAACCCAGTATCACTGATAGAGGAATATGTGAAAACCCCAGTTTCAAAATGTCCTGTGTGCTAGAATGCAGGTGCCTGTTGAGCCGGTCTGGGACACACAGAGGTACCGCATAGCATCTGCCTCAAGGGGGTGCTACTTGCCCACGGTGATGAGCCAACCACAAGCCACGTGGGATGGCGCTTCCCCTCATTTGTTTTCCTTCATTTATGTTACTTGGATGTTTAAGTAATAAACACAAATTTTCTGTGTTTACATCTCTTATTTCTCTAGGAAACAGTTCCCTAAAGGCTGTCTACATGAAAGACAAATTGAAGAGTATGCGGCTCCTGAATCCCACTGTCCAGCGTTCTAAGACTCCCATATTTTTCAGCCCAGCATTTAGCTCATGCTCTGGAGGAGACACCCTCTTGAACTTTCTACCAGACTGTGCAACCTTTCTGAAATCACAGCTGTGTCTTACTCATTCTCTGCAATCCCTTGACATAGTCAGTGCTCACCATTGCACCATATTTGCATCATATTCATTAAGCATCAATATGCTCACATGGATTGAGCAGAGTCATCTAAAATATCCTGAGTTATTTTTTTATTAAGATTTTACTTATTTGAGAGAGAGAATGAGAGAAAGACAGCATGAGCAGGATGAGGGGCAGAGGGAGAAGCAGACTCCCTGTTGAGCAGGGATCCTGAGGTGGGGCTCGATTCAGGGACTTGGGAAACATGACCTGAGCCGAAGGCAGATGCTTAACAACTGAGCCACCCAGGCGCCCAAAAGATACCATGAGTTATATGCACAGGTTCTGGGGTGCCTGGATAAAAGACCATATTCAGGGGCATATAGTGTGCGGCTTTGCGAGTCACCAGAGACAGTGGCTGAGGGACAGAATTCCAGCTCACATCTGGCCGGCAGTGGCATCCAGGGAGTTTACATGGAACAGCTTTCATTATTCTGTGGCATCACCTTTAAGGTCAGAGATGTGTCCCAACACTTTTTGTTTCCCTTAAAGGTAAATAAAGGTGGTTTCTGATCTTTTGCAATTACAAACAATGCTACAAAAAATCATTCCTGACTCTATTTAGAATTTTCTACTGTCAACCATAAAAGGACAATACCACTGAGTAACACTGTGCTTCCTTTCGTTTATCCAAAAATTGAATCAAGATTGCAGAAGTACCTCTAAGTTAAGATTTTCTTCAGTTTGATGACTGAGTATTCATTGACCTATGATTTTATAATTTTATTCATGTTCATTTTTGTTCATTTTTTTAAAGATTTTATTTATTTATTTGACACAGAGAGAGAGAAAATGAGAGAGAGAACACAAGCAGGGGGAGTGAGAGAAGGAGAAGCAGGCTTCCCGCGGAGCAGGGGGCCCAATACCGGTCTCAATCCCAGGACCCTGGGACCATGACCCCAGCTGAAGGTAGATGCTTAACGACTGAGCCACCCAGGTGTCCCTGTTCATTTATTTTCAAGTAAGTAATTCGTTCATATGGTTCAACATTCAAAAGGCAAGAAGATGTGCTATGATCATTTCCCTCCCATCCCAGATTCCCTTTTAATAATCAACTAAATTATGAAATTCTTGGCCATCCTCTGGATAGTGTATGCAGTCCCAAGCAAATACCTGTATAATATGTCTCCCTTTGTTCACATAAATACTAGCCTGGCATACATACTGTTCTATGCCTTGCTTTTTCATTACAGTATATTTTGGCAATAATTTCCTATCAGTAC